TAACCTGGACAACGGCCCCCCGGGAAAAAGGAAATGCCTTTCCTCACCAGGACAGTGAACTTACGTTTTAACCAGCTGACGACCCACATCACAACTGAAAAGTAAGAGAAAGCATTAGTTAACATGAGAGCCACACACCTGAGCAGACGCAGGCGGTGAGCTTAGCAGGTGCTCAGACCGCACCCCGTCTGCCCCCCGGGAGCCCACGCACAAGTGGCACCAGTGCCCCTGCTCCCCGGCCGAGGGCACCCCAGACACCCTGACTGCAGCACTGGCCTGAGGCCCTGGTCCCCAGACCCACGTCAGGAGCCCAGCAGGTGGCCCCATCCCAGAGCTCTAGCTCAGGCACACAATGGGTCGGAGTGAGCACAGCCGTATTTTACATGAAAAACTCCCGATCAAGAACCCCCTACATAACAGGCCCCCACATGCCTGAGCTCCTGGCAGCTTTTTCTCCAGGACTGACCTGACTCCAACATACCTTTCCTTCCACAGAGGCAGAGGAAAAGGAAGACGGCGATGAGAAGGGCCCCAGACAGCACGAGCCACTCCCACGGGCCCGCACTTCCTGGAAGAGACAGAGGGCGCGCAGTGGGGCTGGGCACGCTCTCTCATCCGGCGACGTGCTACACAAAGCCCCCGCCCGGACAGCAGCCCCCCAGTGCTTCCCCACGGATCTTCTTCTCCTTGAACGTCCCTGGTGGGGGTCAGAGCACGGGCTCACCCTTCCTGGGCCACAGATGAGGACCCAAGCTCCAGGGGGCCTTGCTCAGGCGTCGGGAGGCATCAGGTCTGCACGGCGAGAAGAGTGACAGCAGGTCCTGCTACTCCGCCTGGGACGGGGCTCTGGTGTGGGGTCACAGCTGAGGGGTTTACTCCGGCCCGGAGGCCAGGAGGAGGGAGAGGAGCAGGCCTGACTGCAAGGGCTGGCCGTGGTGGCCGGAGGGACACAGCAGGGTCCCCCTGAGTAGATATGTGGTGTGACCACTTGGGTGTCCTGGTCTCACCCTGTAACATCCCAGCACCCATAGGAGCCATGGACACAGGCCCCTGCGCGCCGTGGATCATGCCACACTGGGGCTATCTGGGCTGGCCCTGCGCCTCTAAGGGCGGGAGGATGATGGAGCAGATGCTTCATGGGACGCCATCACTGGGACTGAAGGCTCTCCCTTGTTCTCCAAGTAAGCCGTCCTAGTTTTTCCTTCTTTTTGGCTGCTAAAGTATCCTTTAAAAGTGCTTCCATGTCATTCAAATCAAAACTTTTCCATGGAAATCAACCAGCCGATTCTGAAATGGTAACTGGCACATGAGAGCCCGAGAGTAGCCTGACCATACGAGGCAGGGGACAGGGCCGCCTCCACTCCCGCAGGCCTGCCATAAAAGGACTCAGCCAAGAGCACAGAAGGCGCCAGACTCCAGCCCTGCGTGGTTTAAGACCAGGTGACACTGGTCGCAGGCAGGCAGGGACTCTTTTTTCAAAACAAGACATTCGGTCATTTGTATGTACTTATGGCAGGTCCCACCCTGAAAGCCACCCCCTGGCTCACAGCCCACGGAGTCACATGGCACCCCACAAAGGGCTGTACCTCATGTTTATAAATCATCATCGAAAAAAATAAAAACCCAGACAACTCAACATAAAAATGGGCAAGAATCTTGCACAGACACATGACAAAGGGCTCCGAGGCTGAGGGCACGTGCCCGCCTCAGGTCTCATCACGCCCAAGAGCCCCGCAGGGCAGGGGCTGGGCCTGGGTGAAAGCATGCAGGGAAGCAGGGGCACTCACCAGGGAAGCCTGAAGGCCTCTCGGGGAGCCCACCATGCCAGCCCTGGGCCCGAGGCAGGGCAACAGCAAAGCGCCACCCGCTCAGCCTGGGGTGCTGAGCCTAACCCTACACGGCCACAACTCGGGAGCAGGGATGGCGAAGGCAGAGCTCGTGCTCAGGGACTGCATGTGCCTACTCAAGATGGGCACTGCCTGTTTGTAAACGAGGTTTTATGGGGACCCAGCCGAGCACACCCACGACTTCCTGCCTCCAGCGTCTACTACAGCCACAGGTGAGCGGTGACAACGGACACCATGGCCCGCAAGGCCTCCACTTCACCTCTCTGGAGGTTTGCTGACTGGACTTAGGAGATGGACTTGGCCTCTTACCTGGCTCTGGACTCACTTCTGTGGCACAGACTGCATTTCTCGTGGCACTGCAGGCCTGAAGGGTGAGGCCATCACACCTGAAGTAGTGGAGAAACCCCGAGCATTATTTCTCCCTGCCCAGACTGAGCCAGGGCATCCTTCTCACCACTCAGAGACCCAACCCACCCCAGTTCCCAGGCTGGCCCACCAGGCTTCAGTCAATCAGTGCCTGGCACTTCCCAGGCTATCCAGCCCAGCTGGTTCATGAGAGCAAGGCCTGGGAATTATCTGTGATTTATATGGGGAAACACTACCCTTTTCCGGGATAGAGCTGTCTGTGGCTACAAGTGCTAGACCTGCTGTAGCCGTATCTCCACCAAGAGGGAAGCCAGCCCAGAGACGAAGCCCGCAGAGAAGCAGACAGGCAAGCGAGTCCAGAGAAGCCAGAGGACTGATCAAAGCAGACCTGAAGGGAGTCCTTACTCTGGACTCGTTAGGGACGTGAACCAACAGCCCAGTGTGCTCTGAGATAAAGAGTCTACTGTGCGCCTCACAAATGGGAGCCATTTGCCACGGTAAATGTCTCCCCAGAAGGTCCACTCCAAAGCCATGCCCACCGAGAAGAATGTGACCTCGTCTGGAAACAGGGTCTATGCGGATGTACTTGCATTAAGATGAGCACAACCAGATTAGGGTGGGCCTCACCCAATGACTGGTGTCCTTATAAAAGCGAAACGTGTGTGCACGTGAAGGCCACGTGAAGACAGAGACACAAAGAGGGAGGAGGCCAGGCGAAGACGGAAGCAGAGACTGGAGTGAGGCGTCGGCAAGCCAAGGGGCACCCCGGTCTGCCGGAGGCTGGAAAAGGCAGGAAGGGGCCTCCCCCAGAGCCTTCAGAGGGAGCCGACACCTGGACTCCGGACTTGTGGTCTCCAGAGCTGTGAAAGAACACATTTGTTGTTTGAAAGCCACCTGCTACAGTGCTTTGTTACAGCCACCACAGTGACAGCTGTCCTGCTCTGCCACAGGGCAAGGGGCTGCCACTCTCTCTCATCCCCCAGAACTGCCTCTGGCTCCCTCCCGCCCTCATCAGGCCCCTGCTTAGGAGCCCGGTCTTCTAGTTGCACCCCCATCCATCACAGACTCATCACTGCATGTGCTCTGAGTGCCCGTTGCTGGGTGCTTGAGGCCGAAACAGCCCACCGTGGGGCTTATAACCATTCCTCAATCAATCAATCAATCAATCAAGTGACTGAGCACTGCTTCTAGGCTGGCCACCGAGCGATTTGTTTGATGTCATCTCTAGGATGCCTCTGTGGGGCAGGTGCTACCATTAGCCCCATTTTATAGGTGGAAAAACTGAGGCTCGTTCCAGGAAGGAGCAGGGGCGGGGGGGCCACACCCAGGGCACCTTTGACACTGGAAGCAGCTCTCCATGCAGTCCTCGGAGTCACAGTAGAAGCGCCCAGACCTGCACTGGCACTGCTGGTCGCTGGATTCGGAGCCCGCAGCCACGACCTCTTGGTCTGCTCAAGGGAGAAGACTGAGGGTGAATCACCACGGGTGGGACAGTGTGCGCCCATACTCACCACAGCCAGCGACCGTACTCCCTGTAATCTGAGCTGCAGGCACAGAGCGCACGCCTCTGAAGCAACCCCAGATAATGCCTTTCACCTTGAGTGGCCCACAGAGAGAACACCTCTCCCCCGCACTCACACAAGTAAACGTCAGGCGGTGGCGGACAGCAGAGAACCCCTCTGCCCCTGCCCCTGGCGGTAACCTCTGCCCTCACACTGCTGACCACCTTC